ACGTACGACGTACGACGTACGACGTACGACGTACGACGTACGACGTGGAACAGACCCACAACAACCATGCTCAAAACGGCCTGATTCGGGTTCTCTGACCTCAGAAACGTCCAGAAAACATGTTTTTGAGGTTGCGTAAATTTTGACCTATTGCAATACTTTCCCCTTTCACACTAGGTGTGTGCGGAAAAGTAAAAATGAACAATATCAAAAATAAATCTTGAATAAATATTTTTTTAACCATTTTTTTAACAGATCATAAGCAAAACATTCATAAAATCATTGTTTAACTTGAAGAAATATGGGGATTTTATCATATCTACAACACAAGGATGGATCATCACAAATTATTATAAATTTTTTAGGCTCGATAAAAATTATAATATAAGCTATTTTTAAAAATAATTTGTTGATTTGTTGACCGTTAAGAATGTGGGCCATTAAGAATTCTAATCATATTACGAATTTTCTGAAACAAATCATCGAAATCATACGGATCAGACGACTAATACAGGAACACACTAACTCCGATTCAGAAATTCAAAAATTTACACATACACAGAATGTCAGTGTTTTTCTTTGTATTGGTGCATCTGCAATTCATCGGCGCTCTAAAACAGATCAAATGTAAATAAACAGCTTCATACGACATGCAAACAATTAGCCAAACGATTCGCATATTGCCAAGATTTCAAGTATTGGTTCTAAATTTCAAGCATAGAAAAATATTTAAACGCAACCGTCTGCGTGCTCACCAAAAATTCAAATTAAAACAATGTTGTTGCAAATGTGTGACGATTACTTTTATCTTAAACTATACATATTTGATTTTCATTAGATGATTCCATTACTTCCATTACGTTCCATTACATATTGATTAATTTCCATTATTTCCATTCTTTTCTTTGTGATAAACCCAGAGCATATACTGAGCATGGATATATATCCGGGATATTTTGTGAGTATCCGAAAACAATAGAAGTGATTGTTATAGGTCTAAGTATAAAACCATTTATATTACTACAATCACTATAACAATAACTTCTATTGTTTTTACTCTATTTCAAAGTCTGGCTCCAATGAATATCGGATACTGACAAAATATCCAGGATATATATCTATGCTTAGTATATGCTCTGGACCGAAGCCCGATCATGGTATAGGATTTCCTGTATAAAACTTGTAACTAACAACACCTCTAATGCGTATTCCGAGTACTAATCAAAGTTTGTGACAATATGGCCGTCACAGTTTGGCAAAATCATAATGAATCGATTAAACTGCGTTAAACTGTTAAAATAAAACAGTAGAAATAAATAGATTTTAATTTTTTACATTTTTGAAAATAAAAAATATTTTGTTTTTTTTTAATTTTGTGAGATTTTCTGTCCACAATATTCAAAAATATTAAATTAATAAAAATGAATTCGTTGACATAACCTCACTTTTGTGTCACGATCGTGATAAATCGATCAAATAATTATTAAAACGAAAGTGAGGTTATGTCAACCACTTCATTTTTTATTAATTTAATATTTTTGAATATTGTGCAGTAAATCTCACGAAACTACCGGAAACTACAAAACAAAACAAACAATTTTTATTTTTTTAAATGTAAAAAATGAAAATATTTTTATTTCTACTGTTTTAATAATTTTTTAATCGGTTTATCACGATTGTGACACAAAAGTTAGGTTATGTCAACCAATTCATTTTTCTTGATTTAATATTTTTGAATATTGTGGACAGAAAATCTCACAAAATTAAAAAAAAACAAAAGATTTTTTATTTTCAAAAATGTAAAAAATTAAAATCTATTTATTTCTACTGTTTTAATTTAACAGTTTAACGCAGTTTAATCGATTCATTATGATTTTGCCAAACTGTGACGGCCATATTGTCACAAACTTCGATTAGTACTCGGAATACGCATTAGAGGTGTTGTTAGTTACGGGCATGATCAGGCTTCGCTCTGGATAAACCCTAGGCAACCGTCTCCACTTCGTTTATTTATTATTAGTACTAAATGAGTTGTCACTGAATGTATGAGAAAGCAAAATAAATGTAACACATTATATAAACAAAATTAACCACAACACATATTCTGACAGAATGAACATCTGTAAAAGGGTACTACATTATTTCTCAGAATTTGTAGTGTTTTTTTAATAAAAAAGATAATTTTGTTAAAATTGATAATTTCAGTGTAAATGAATTATCACAATGGAATTTGATACTTCCAAAGTCTTCAAAACTGAACAATTTGAACAATTGATCATCGCAAACATAAAAAAAGAGCCCGATATAATTGAAATAGACGAACAGACATATTCGAATGGAATTTCTGCGAATGAATCGAAAGAATCCATTGATTCAAATATCAACAAGATATTCGAAGACACCGTCATTTATGATGAAATCGTCAAAGAAGAGCCTGTATTCTTTGATCCAATTGAATCTCAAGTGCTTTCAATTTCAAAGACTGAAGGAGAATTGGTGGCATTCAAAAATATTGTATCATTCACAATTCCAACAATGTCGAAAAAACCAAAACAAAAGAAAATGTTTGAATGCCATATATGCAGATGTCAAACAGAAAACATAGGTTTATTGAAATGGCACTTAAAAGAACGCCATTCAAAAGAGTTTATAGTGCAAAACCAACGTTCACAAAATCCGGACACTAAAAAGCAAAACATAAAACAACAAATATTTAAAAAAAGGACATCGGATAAAAAGCAAAAATTAAAACGAAAGAAATCAAAAATGTTAAACCAACAATCGAAGCTCAATTCACTTCAATTCAGTTCGCCAAGTCAACAAATTACCGAAAAGGTACACGAATGTACATATTGCCGCAGAAAATTTAACACATTCCAACGTCGTGAAAATCATGAACGTGTTCATACCAAGAAACAACCATTTAAATGTTCTGTGTGCATAAAAAAATACAACACCAAAGTTAGTTTACAAATACATATGCGCATTCACAATGGAATTTCATTGAAGTCCCAACGCCACAAAGGTGGGAAAAAATTGAAAATTGTGAAAAACATTGAACCGGATGAGTTTTTAAAATTCCGCAGTTTTGAATGTTATTTGTGTACGTTTCATGGTCTCTTATGGGCCCTGCAAGCTCATATGAAGGAAGACCATACTGGAGAAAAAGTATTCCAATGTAAAATTTGTTCCAAAAAGTTTTTACAAAAACCATTCTTGAAAACACACATGCTGTTGCATACAAAAATTTATCAAGTCGAATGTCCAGTATGCGGAAAACTACTTGCATGCAAGGAAAATTTAAATATTCATATGCGATATCATTCAGGTAATGTATCAATGGATGAATGATCTTTCGGGGATAATGCAAAATTCAAAAGTAATCATTTTTATATTATATATATTTTTTATAGGAGACTTCCCTTATGAATGTAAGCATTGCTTGAAGAAATTTCCAACGAAATGTGCGGTAAAAACTACTATTCCATCTACAATTTCTGATCCATTCCTTCGATTCATTTTCCATTCTTTTCCATTCTGTTCCATTAATCATTGATTGATTTTCATTTTTTCCATTCTTTTCTTCTGATCAACTCTAGGTAAAAACTCATGTTAGAATCCACACGGGTGTCAGGTTTGTTTCGGTTTTTTTTTTGTTAGCGCCTAATGATGTATTGTAACGAGAAATATCATATTTCTTTTCGTTTTAGACCGTTCGGGTGTGATTATTGCGACAAAAAATTTCTTAAAAGATGTGATTTGGTTCGGCATACTCTCATACATACTGGTGAAAGACCATTTAAGTGCGATATTTGTCAGATGACCTTCACACGTAATCATCTGTTAACAGACCATAAAAAAAATATTCATAATCGCTTTGTGTAATTTGAAAAAATTAACAATATCAAAAAGAAATCCTAAATAAATATTTTTTAACCATTTTTTGTATCTCCAATAAAAAATAAAATGTCTTACATACGTAAGATGAACTTTTCCGCACTGTGATCCACAAAATTCATTTATAACTTATCTTTTACTTGAATTTGAACTCACGAAAAACTGAATCTGACATTAGTTTTACGATACACATAATTTTTGACACACTTTTTATATAAAAATTACTTAAAATGGGAATTTTGGAATGGAATCAATCCTTGCATGACGACGTGAAACTTGACACAGGGTATTTTTTCACAAAAAGCCAACATTCTGGAAGTTTGAAAATATTTCAATACAATTTAGGGGTACTTCCCATACAAAATTTTCGTTTTTGGGTGAAAAATCCAAAATTTTGTTCGGAAGGTACCCCTAATATGTATTGAAATTTCTTCAAACTCTCGGAATATTATTTTTGTGTGATAAAAATAACCTGCGCAAAGTTTCAGGTCATTACGATATCATACAGGCATGGCTTCCATACAAAAATCCAATTTTTTTGAAATATTTGTATGAAAGGTGTGTCGAAATATATTTGTATCGCAAAACTAATGTCATATTCGGTTTTCTCGTACCCAAAAACCCCCCAATACATATTTTTGGATGTTTAAGAATACATTAAATATCACTTTTGGGGGGAAAATTGAATTTTTCCCATGGATGGCCATGGGCATCACACCAGACATGACACGTTACTCTATCAACCAAAGTCGCTCAAAATCTAATGGTTTCTATTCCTCGGCACCCCCAATCATCCTGTGAAGTCAGATTTTGAATTACTTTTCTGGTTTGAAAGTTATCGTGTTAACAAATTTTTGCGTACAGGGTACAGCGTACAGCGTACAGGGTACCACGCACATACATTCGGACATCGAAAAAACGCTAGATTCATGTTCCCTGGCTCCTAAAACACCCAGAAAACATGTTTTTTGAGGGTGTTAATTTTTCGACCGATTCCAATACTTTACCTTACACACTAGGTGTGTGCGGAAAAGTAATATTGAAACGTTCCATAATCCAAGAATGTTAAATATATTATTACCACCGATTGTGTTTCAAAACGTCTCTTGGGTGATGGATGACGTTTATGATTGACATAGATCAGACATTGAGTTGATTAATTATAAGATCACTCAGTGTATCCGCAATAGGCCCAAAATTTTCGGTATATCTTATCAGGTGTTTGAACGTTTGATATCTCCACTTTAAATTTATATTGAACGGAGGTGGCAATGATCACAAAAAACGGGTTTTGAAACTTTAAATATATTCTTCAAAGTCAAAAAGACTATATTTAATCAATGGATATTTATCGAACGATACGAAATCAGATTAACCCAGATATATTGAACAATACTTACATTTTATCATCATCGCCTGCATAAGGCTATCGTAATTTTCTTGCTCTGTAGATGAGTAAAACACAAGATATATACTTATATATACTTATATGCAAACTTTTCAATTTGTTTAATAAATATTGCACCATTTTGCCGTCTCTACTTCGTATGCTCAAGGAGTTAATAATATTCTACTCTGAAACAACCTCATGTATACTGGAGGTTACATTAAATAACCATATGAATACTATGATTTATGCAATACAATGGCACGCTGCTGAAGCACGCTCCATCAAAATTCATTACCAAAGTTGCGATGACCACTTTCAATTTGACGAAATCCTCCGATGAATAGGCAAAGAGCAAATACAATACTAAGCTGTTATACGTGTATCACGTGAGTTATTTGTGAAACAAATGAAACAAAAATATCTCTTTTCGGCTAAACCATGAGTGCGTTTCAGCAAAAAGTACACATAATTAATTTATTACATCACGTAATGATGCGGCTTGAAGCAAAAAGAAAAATCCAAATCACAAACAATCTTTATGTGTGCGTGCTTGTGAAGCCTGTTACGAATATATATCCGACCATTTTCTCACGACTGAAGATACATTGCCATTGTCTTTTGAACGTGGAAGGTCTTGCAAATATTAAGGAAAAATTTACAAATTCCAGAAGAGTTTCATTCAAAAAATGAATAAACATTAAGGTCAACTCCAAATTTTTTATAAGCTCACATGAAATTTCCGGTCCATTCGTTAGACAAACAAATTAATTTTTTATACTTTTTTTGTTGAATGGACAAACAATTAGAGAGTTTTAAATGTTATAAATAAACATTTAAAAGTTTCATTCAAATTGATTGAGTTGTTAATAAATATTTTGAATAAGTTATATTCACAGATTCTTGGTGGTATGAAAATATAATTTTATTACTCACATCTCGTATATTTAAGATTTTAACAGAGTATAATGATTTGCTGCTCAGCATATAGCTGAGAGCTGAGAAATGCTGAACTCGTGCGGCTAACGCATACGAAACGGATGACATGCACACATGCATTCTCCCCGTTTAAACGGTTATAAAGAGTTGATTGGATGTTCAATTCAAAACTCAAAACTTAGTAACCAGTTGAGTTTGAAATTGTGTTGTGACCGACATATGAGAAGCTGCGAGAAAAACATCACGTCGCATCCCTCGTTATTTTGCTTACGTAAGTGAAAGCAAGAGATGAGATGCGACGTGCTGTTTCTGCTCTCAGTCTTTCATATATTCTGAAACTGTACGTCTAACGCATACGAAACGGATGCACGATACATATTCCCCTTTCACTTCGTATGTTCGCTGGTATAGTGTGTTACCGTTGTACCGGCAATAGCGTCAACGGCAGCACATACGAAGCGAAAGGGGAATATGTATCGTGCATCCGTTTCGTATGCGTTAGCCGCACGAGTTCAGCATTTCTCAGCTATATGCTGAGCAGCAGCCGAAGGGCAATCGCACTTTGAACACTGCAGCTGTGCTGCTCTCTGACATTTATAAGTTCAACCCTATGTAAAGACATTGCTTTCCTCTTCTTCTTCATTTGCAAGAAGCATGTGCGTTATAGCAGCTTAACTTTGAGATACCAGGTGGCAGCACATCTGCGTGTTCGAAACCCAATACATTGCTTTAAATGGAGTGCGAGCAGAGCGTGGCAGCAGCAAATCATGATACTCTGAATTTTAATTTAATTTTGGAATCTACATTAATGTTTTGTGAGTTTTTCATTGTGTTTTATTTGGAAAGAAGAGAAACATATAACTTATTCTTGAACCTTATGTTTTTGGGTTGTCTTTAATGATCTATTGTGATTTAAACTGTTACGTTGATATGAAGTAAATGTAAATCGCAGAGTTTGTGTGATCTTGTCGTAAAAAAGGAGATATATCATTAGCATTCTTACAATTGAATTAAACATCATGCTTGAAATTGGTATATATATGTCAAAAATCGATAACAACTGGTTTAGCATTTCGGTAATTAAGTGGCGATATTGTTGAAATTATCGAAAATTACAGTATGATCATGTACATGCTTTGAATATTTTCAGAGTGAAGTGTTAGTAAAAAAATATATGACATGAGTATTACTGATGGAGTTAGTCATAATGACTGTGATTAATTCGATAAGATAGCATTCATTTTGAGTTTTAATAAACACTTTAATATGTTATTAAAATCTATGAGACTTACGACTATGTCGACATACGGTACCAATTGGTTTCATTGTTCATATTCGCATGATTACTTTTCCTCCGTTGACTGAACAAGTCGTAGATCCATAAGAAATTCGAAACAAGGTCAGGCACAAAGTTTGGAAACGCTATATGCTTGCAATCATTTACTTATATTGTTCACGCATTCTGCGTATCATCGAGCAAAAAACAGCCATCGATCATAAATGTATAAATTTCTATGACTAAGAAAATGTTAATTATAAAATGTTAATTCTTCTTGGTGCGGTTTTGTGAATTTTTTTATGGAAAACATACAATATGAATTAACATTATCAAGAGATGAAAATTTCAACTGTACCTATGAAAACGGAAAACGGACACTCATAAATCAAAACTATCAATGATATTTCACTTCATTCAATAGATCACTTTTTTATTAGTCTTCAAGCAAATTCTCAAGTTCTTATTTGTGTTTCTTAAAACATAAGTTCTACTTTCCAATTTTCCTGAGTAATTCGCGACGAAACCGGGCAAAATCATGATCGCCTTCCAAATTATTTAAACATTCCTTCTTAAGAGAGTTGAGAACCTCGCCGAGTTGCTGTTTGATTTTGTTGGATGTATCGGCTTCGCAGGCAGATGAAATTTTCTGTTCCCATAGAAATGATGGGCACAATTCAATTAAATCATCCAAATAATCCTGGAGTGAATCCAAATCCAACAAAATCCGATCACAACATTCACAACATTTTTCATAACATTCTAATAGGCATAAGGCATTTGATTTATCACTTCGATGGCCTATTTTTAAAAACGTTTTCAATAACTTGTTACTGTCCTCGTTGTGTATGACACCTTTGACGTTCATCATAGCATACGTTTCAATTTGTTCGAATGTTAGTTGCGAACATCCGCAAAAACAACGCAAAATACGAAGGTCCTTTTGTGGTGGTAGTGGCTCAGATCTATTTGATGAAGTCGTTTCCATGTCTAGTTCGTCATCAAAATCTTGTCGCAAATGATTACGGTAGTGATGGTGATGTCTGGTCCTATTTTCCCGTTGATTTTCGTTATTTTGTGCCATTATGAATTTTTGTTCACTATTTATACACAAAATCAACTTCGATAAATAGAAATCACAAGATTTGTGACTAAAACATACTCATTATTTAAAAATGACACAATAAAATTGTTCATACGAATAATCGATATGAAGCGGAGTTGAGCCGACAATTTTCGTGTACAAATGTTTACGACATTTTTTGTTTTCCATTTACTTGTAAGAAATATCCTCTGAACGTGTTACAAATTAAGTTCGATCACACATGGAGAAAAAGTAAACTTGGTGTGGTGACGGCTAACGAATAACTAAAAATAAAGACCGTATTCAAGTCATCGTCTTTACACTCACATACCGCAGCTGGCAGCTTATACAAATACGATTAGATACGAAAAATATACAACACATACAAGCTATGTATGTGTTTATAATACACTCAGTATATTTTAGCGGCCAATTTGAAATTCAACTTTTATTGTGCATTATTTTTTAACTTTTTCAGAAAAAAAACTCAATTTCTCAAAGTTTGTACAATTCCAGTATAAAAAATCATTTTCTTTGAAAAAAAACGCCTTCAATTAGGCTTCTATGAAATATTTTAAACTATAATATGAGCATTGAAAATTATTTCAATAAATCAATTTGATATTTGCTTAAATTCATTTTTTGCAAGACAAAGTCATTTGTTTTGTTTTTTAGAATAAAAAATCGCCGAAAAAAAATTAATCATCTCAAAATGCAACTACGAAATATATTTTATAAGCAGCAAATGTGTATAGCTGTCACGGCGGCGATTGTGGCGCTACCACTACATTTGTTTGTGTGCTGAAATTAACTGACATTTAGCTAGGCGTAGTTTTTTTTGCGCTCAATACACTACAGACAAGCTCTTTGTTGAAACCGTCGTTTAGTCAACGTTAAGACACCAAAGTGAAAAGTTCAGCGATTGTTTTTCGCGTAATTTCCAAACGAAAAACCAGTTTATCGTTTTATCAATTTAAATCGTAAGTTCAAAAATTTTATGTCAACGGATTTTTATTTGAAACGCGTTCGGTGGAAAAACAATTATCCCAAGTGGATTTTATCGATGCATTCGAATTTATTGTGAAATCCAGCTCAAACTAGTTCTGCGTGCACTGTTTTTTAGAGCTATTTGAATTATTGCAATTTTTTCTACTTTTTTTGTATTGATTTTTCACACATAAAATTTCGTTGATTCATTTACAATTTAATTTCAAAACGATTTATTATTTTCTCACAGTTTCTTGAAAGCATTTTCTGTTTCAATATGCTATGGAAATTTCAATGTGCATTTTTTTTCTACCGCAAACATGGTTAACGGTAAACTCAATTAGCCTGAATAGTCGATTCTCTTAAAAAAATAGTTTTCATTTTTTTTCTCTTCAACGGATAGAGTAAAATTCCATTGGACTCCAAAATCACTTGTTCCCATTTCAGTTACTTTCCATATTTAAATCCGAATTTAGGTTTCGTCTTTACCATCATTACTTGGTAATAATAACTATGGATAAACAAAGTGTATGTGTGTGTTTGCTTATATATTTCTTCTAAACTTTCGGTATTATACCGAATCGGTATAATACAACATACATATTTTTTTCTCCTCTTCTTCTCTCTTTGCAAACTACACCATGTTATATAGCAATGTTCAATGATGATTCATTCATCGTAGATCGTTAGATTGTAATTTTCATTACGACATGCTCAGAGTGTGTGTGTTGTGTGTGTGTGTGTGTATGTGTGTGTGTGTGTGCGCGTTCGCGTTAAAGTTCAATTACATTTCGGTTCGATAGCATTGCTATATATACACATATAAAATATGCTTCGCAGAAGTAACATATTTCAGAGACTATGAGAGACTCTGTGACGCTAAATTCATTTTAGTTTATTTGTAGCTTAACGGAATCGTGGCACTGATTTATCTCTATAATTGGCCTCTCTTCTTTCTTTCTTTTCAGACAATTTCTTTACTATTAACAAAAAGCGGTAAAAAAATGACTTCAACATCGTTCAGTATTGGCATGAGCAACGACCGTAGTTCAAGCCGTGTTTTAAAACCACCAGGTTTGTATAATTGATTTTCTTTTATTCAATGGCATATTTAAAATTACTTTCAGCCAAAAATCTGTCTTAGATATGTCCGTTTTAAATGTTCATTAAATAAATCTTATACAATGTTTTTCATCAAGGCGGTGGCCATACAAACATTTTTGGCGAATCTGAAGTGAAGGTGAATAGCCCACGTCCAAAATACGATCAACAAAATTCGTCGAATTTGAATTTCTGCATGAATACCACCGATGCTAATATTTTGGTTGAGCAAAAGAAAAATGAAATCGAAACAGTTCAATCACCACCCAAACCAGCTGAGGTAAAGTCAGCCCGATCAAGTAGCAACAATGGTGATTCGGCGGCTCAACAATCATCACCACAAAAAGGTGGCCAAAGAGTTCCACCAGGTGGCTTTAGCAGCGGTGGATTTTGGTAAATGTCTATTCCGTCATCATTAATTTGCATCTCACAAATGTTCTTCTTTCCGATTTAAAACAAAACACCATTTCAATGACTACTTAATATTTTTTACTCATACAACTTAAGATAAATACAACAACTAACGTGAACTTAGAACTTTAAATATTTAGCTTAGTTCTTTTTTTGGTGCGCAATCGAATGTTTTTTTTTTCGTTCCTACGTTTTAAACGATGCCGCTCTCGTTATTTCTGTTAATATCAGCAATTTTCAAAAACACTCTTCTAAACAAACATTTTTTTAACATTGTTGCATACTACAGTTTTCATATAATAGTTTCGAAGTTATTACATTCTTGATATAAAATGTTACAAATGTTTTTGATAGTTACTTCGCATACTCGACTTGTGCTGCTCTTTCAAGTGATACCAACCAAATTTTCGATATAAAACATCCAACATTGTATTCAATAAATACAAATAAAGGAAATACAAATATTCCGTTTAACCAACCAAATGTATTAGCTTGTTTTGTTTGTTTTTTAATAATTTCAGATATAATGATGACGAATTGTCGATCAAAAAGGTAATCAAAATTTGCATTGTATTCACTCATGGTGGGTCTATATTTTCTTCCTTTATTCATTTAATTTTTACTCTGAACAAAAAACTGGTACATACAGTTGAATTTTTAGTCGTTGTGCATACAACAGGACTTGAAAGTTGAAAACTGTTGTTGCTCGTCGGAAACATGCCAAGATTCGCTTTCATTCCATATAGTTAATAGTATGATACGAACGAAACAACAACGAAACTCATCCGCACCTAGTTGCGGCTGCGGACGTGTATCCACTATCCAGTTTAATCCGCTTTGAATGAGTTTTTTTCTACCTTTTCGCCGTGTTTACTTTGTTCTTTGCTTTAGCACGCAAAATTGTTCAGTTTTGCCGTCTATAGTCTATACAGTGTTTGTATAGCGAAACCGACACAGACTATTGTTGTAATTAAAAGCCGTCACTAAGTCGTGTGCCAATGTTATTTTATAGTCAATTTCATTTTATATATATTGCGTGCCAAATTTTTGATGTCACCTGTTTACTTTTCATTCGTATTTGATGTTATATATGAATTTGCGTAACCAAACTCGCCAATGACTTTGTGTTTCGATTTTTAACCACTTGTTTGGCCTTCCAAGAAAGCAATTGAGAAAAACAAATTTTGATTGAAAAAAAAAAATAGAATAAAAAAATGATTCAAAATATACACACAAATGACAACTAACCTCAATATGAACAAAAATTGACATAAAACTCAATTTATCCGAAGTCTCAACCGTTTTTGGGATAAATTTTAGTTCAGATTTTTTCCGTTTAAATATTTAAGTGCTTAACATATATCACTTTTGCATTTGAGCGGAAAAAATGCATACTAAAATCGAAGCCTGATCATGCCCGTAACTAACAACACTTCTAATGCGTATTCCGAGTACTAATCGAAATTTGCGACAATATGGCTCGATTAAACTGCGTTAAACTGTTAAATTAAAACAGTAGAAATAAATAGATTTTAATTTTTTACATTTTTGAAAATAAAAAATCTTTATATAATTATTTATCTTACAATAATTATTTGATCGGTTTATCACGATTGTGACACAAAAGTGAGGTTATGTCAACGAATTCATTTTTATTAATTTAATATTTTTGAATATTGTGGACAGAAAATCTCAAAAAATTAAAAAAACAAAAGATTTTTTATTTTCAAAAATGTAAAAAATTAATATTTATTTCTACTGTTTTAATTTAACATTTTAACGCAGTTTAATCGATTCATTATGATTTTGCCAAACTGTGACGGCCATATTGTCACAAACTTCGATTAGTACTCGGAATACGCATTAGAGGTGTTTTTAGTTACAAGTTTTATACAGGAAATCCTATACCATGATCGGGCTTCGACTAAAAATTATCCCAAAAATGGTTGAGACTTCGCATAAATTGAGTTTTATGTCAATTTTTGTTCATATTGAGATTAGTTGTCATTTGTGTGTACAAACTCGAAAATATTTACCCAACTCGATGCAAAAATAAAGAGTCTTACGGGAGTAAGACGAACTTTTCCGCACGGTGGTATTTGCGTATTTTATTAAGCAAGTTCAAAATAATATTTGTTCGATTTTTCAAGCCTTTCAAGCGGCATAAGGTTCGAGACCAAAAAATATGTTCAAACCTTGGCATCGAAATATTCTTTAATTTAATAGCAGAAGTACTCGAGACAAGATTTTTCACACTTTCATGATGAACCCATTTGTACGACATTTGAAAGTATTTCATTTTCTAACAAAACACTATAAAAAATATGTCTGACGTTAATTTTGCCATAAAAATTATTTTTGAAACACTTTTCATAATAGACCAAGAGCCACTCCAACAAGTAACTTTTTTTTTTGCTTTATGTCAGAAAACTATATTGAACCATGCAGCTAGACATACACTAAACAAATAATTTTACGTTTATTACTTCAGCCACCCACTTTGTTAAATCTGCACTATTATTCGCGGATAGAAAACACATCAATTAATAAAGCGAGCTGCATGTTTGATTTTCTGGAATATATTTTGTTTTTGCTCAAAGATTCTTCGATTAAAATTTCTGCATGAAATTCCGCATTGTTATTTTCGAAGCACTTTTCATACAAAAACTACTACAAATGGGAATTTTTGTATCGGAGCCATGCCTATATGATATCGTAATCATGTGAAAATTTGCAGAGGCTATTTTTTTCACAAAAAGTTAACATTCTGAAAGTTTGTAGAAATATCAATGCATATTAAGGGTACTTTCGTTTTTGACCGAAAAATCCAAATTTTTTTCGGGAGGTACCTCTAATATGCATTGAAATGTCTTCAAACCCTCGGAATGTTATTTTTGTGTGAAAAAATAACCTGTGCAAAGTTTCAGCTCATTACGATATCATACAGGCATGGCTTTCATCGGTGGGTGCTAGTGAGGCACTTTTTGTATGGGAATATTTGTTGAAAATTCAACAATACGCCACCTATTAAAAACCATAAAGATTTTCGTTACTACTGCTGTTGCGACATATTTTGCTCGAGACCGCACAATTTAAAGGCACATTTTCTTCAAATGTAAGTATTTTGAAAAAATTGTTGATTGATCTATTCACACGTTCACAGATAATAGATCATGGTTCGGCAACAGCTGATTCAGCAACAGCTGATTCGGCAAAAGCTGATTCGGCAACTTCTGATTATGTGCGAGCAAAATATGTCGCAATTCGGGCATTTGAATTTTTTCTTCATTGGCTGGTGAACATTTTCGACGTGTTCCCGCAAAGTTTGTAAACGAATGAACGATTTTTCGCACATTCCACACTTCTAAATTTCAGGGAAAAAATGAAAGTAAAGCACAAAAAACAACCAATAATGAATCAAAAAAATAAAAATGTAAAAATTAAGAAAAAAAGTCACAGTAAAATGATGATTAATAAAAAAAAGCAAAATTACTTTTCGCATGTTTAATGTTTATAGTTGAAACACAAACACCTAATTGCCGGTTTTACAAATGTCAAAAAATAGTTGTCACATATATACAATCTGTCTGAAGTTGGCTCTCACAATACACAACTTGTAGGTTGGTGGCGCTAGGAGTAAGTTTTTTTGAGTGCTTGCTTTTGATATTCCTACCCGGTAAAACTTTCATATCAGCCAATTCCAATCCATGGATTAAATTTTGAGAATCGACCCAGCTCTCACTTCCGTAAAGGATAGTAGGTCTGAAGATTGACTGATGAATCAACAATTTCGTCTCCTTACTCAACTCACGTTTATTGAAAACGTGTGATCTAAGCTGTGCTACTACCTTATTTCCATTCATTCTACGTTGTTCAAACTCTTTGTCAAACTTGCCATCTTCAGAGAAGATGCAACCCAAGTACTTGAATTGTGATACTTTTTCAAGCAAATTTCCATTCAATTCACACTGAACAGTTTTACGAGTTTTTTCCACGTGCATAACCTGGGTTTTTGAACTGCTAATGGTCATTCCAAAGTCTGTACAAGCCGCTTGTAAGTCTCTGACACTATTCTGTAGCTCCTGTTTGTGTACAAACTTTTAATTGCCCTAAGAAGAGGCCCATTTATTCCATAGTCGGCTAAAACCGACCTAGAGTATCATGATTTGCTGCTGCTCAGCATATAGCTGAGAGCTAAGAAATGCTGAACTCGTGCGGCTAACGCATACGAAACGGATGCACGCACACATGCATTCTCCTCGTTTAAACGGTTATAAACAGATGATTGGATGTTCAATTCAAAACTCAAAACTTAGTAACCAGTTGAGTTTGAAATTGTGTTGCGACCGACATATGAGAAGCTGCGAGAAAAACATCACGTCGCATCCCTCGTTATTTTGCTTAC